GCTAGTCCCAGCCAGCTGCTCCCACTTCCTTTGTCCATCGCCTCTTCAAACACGCAAAAAGCGTGCTAAGAAACAGAGCAAAGGCGTAAAGATCTGCGGACAAAAAGGAGACCTTTGGAAAACACCCTGCACAAGCAAGCACCCCTCTCCCAGCACAGAGGCAGCTGCTCTTTACAGTAGGACAGTTTCCAATGTTTTCCTTCTCTGTGCAGACGAGGGATTTCCTGTCCTCCATGGCAACAACCTTGCATTTACTGAAGGAGGCCGTGCCAGTAATCTCCACAGCAGAATGAAAAATTTTAAAGTGGCACTGCCTGTTAGCTGAGAGCTTCAGCTCGCTGACCTTTTCCACACCCACAGTCCAGCACCACTTGTGAGTGGGGGGGAGCCCAATGCTGTGCTGCCCCATCTCAAATGCCTACACCTTTGCATAGAAGGCACCAACCACCATCACCTCCAGCAACCCCCTCCGCCAGCCCCGCACAGGCCCATGTGTCTCTGCTCCAAGAGCACAGATTCAGTACACTGACTTGGCAAAAAGCCTGACTTTGGTCTGGCCCATCTCCATTTTGGCCCATCTCATGCCATTTTAGTGAGTTACATCAGCTTGGCACAAGGCCACAAGAACATCAGGACCAGCCCAAGGGAAGCAGTAGAAACAAAACAGGAGGGGAAGCAAGGCCATCCCCTTCCAGCAGCAGCAAGCTGGTGATGAAACAACACCTTTCACTGTCCAAGTTTAATTTAAACTACTTCATTAGCATATCTCTGCTCACCTGCTCAACTTTTTTTTTTTTAAACCTAGAGACAAGGTTTTTGAGCAACACCTTCAAAGAACATTACAAGAAAGAGCTTGAGACTGACTAAATTATGCTAAACCTGAGTAAGATTTGGGCTAAGCCATGGGTGCATACTAAACCTGTGCTGCCTTTTAAGAGTCTTTTTTCCCCCCCTCCTCTGAGGATGGAAACAAACTTGATCCAAACTTAAACAGACACAAAGTGGTGAACTGTTTTCTAAGAAGGCAGTAGGCTCTTACTGACAAGGAACCTTAAACTATCTTTCACTGCTCTTCTTTTACCAGTGAATTGGACTCTCAAAAGACATGTTCCATAAAGAATAGGCTTAGGAAAGTTGTTAAATAACAGAAAAGCAACTTGAAACAAAAGAAACAGAAAAGGAACAAGAAACCCTTTAGCTAATAGGGAAACCTTCTGCAGCCATACCCAAAAGTTAAAGCGCTGTAAGCACTAAGTGCACATGGTCTGACCACAACACTCTCCCTCTTAGTGTTAACATGCAGCTAAAGCATCACCAGAGCAGCACTCACAATGCTTTTCCAAGTAGCAAGTACTCCTCCACCCTCTCTGCAAAAAGTGACCTCGCAATTCCACTGCCAGTAAAACAGACCCACAAAAGAGAACCATTTAAACTGACACATTTCACTGCACTGGAGTGGACACAGAACAGCCACAGCAGCAGTTACCACATTTCCACAGAAGAGCAGTAAATTGCAGCCAAGGGACAGTCAAACCAAAAAAAAAAAACCAAAAACACAAACACTCATTTGACTGCTTCCAGCAGCAGCAAGAGTCCTGAAGTAGAATTTCAGATCCAAGTTAAATTTCTGTCTCTGCCACAAAGTCCCTGTGGAAAAACAGGCAAGTCACCTTTTCCATACTTTGCTTGAATCCCCTCTCCTGCAAAAGGGGTACTGTTCTTGTTTGTCTGTTCAAATTATAAAGCTGTCCTAGCAGGGATTATTTTTAGCACACCATCACAAAAACCCAGCCGAGCTGGACTCTGATCTCAGCTGGGCCTTCTCTTTGGCTTTGTAATGTAAGAAGTAAACAAAAAGCAAGGCTGAACCCACACCAGAGCCCAGCTACTGGACAGCATTTGATAGCAGATGAAGCACATTTCCCGAAAACAGCAAGCTGCTGGTCTACAGCTAGAACCAGTCAATGACCTGGGGGATTAAAATGGATGACCAGTGCCTGTAATCATTCACTGGTGACCAGTGAGATGCAAATGGACAAATTTCAAATCCAATTCATATTTGAACTGTCACCATGCAGTGACAGAGGTGTTTCTCAAGAGCACAAGTTGAAATAACTCATTCAGCACTGAGATAGCTGCAAATTACTGAGAGCTACATTCAAGAATGGGAACTCTGAAGTATTCTTTGCTTTATAGAATAAACAAACTGTTGCATCAAGTCCATGCATAGTCAGGGCTTTCTGTATTCCAGAGGCACAGGAACTGTTCTCTATCCGGATTACCACCCTCAGCATCAGTAACACACCTCCCTGGAATCATTAGTGTTGCATAAATCACAACAAAATAGTTCTCTCTCCTACAAGCACACTTGACCCTTAATCATTCCCTTTCTACAGCTACAAAACTCTATTTTATTGAATCCTTTGTTTCTTGGTATTTTAACTGGTGCAATCTCACACAACAGGACATATTTATCAGCTTATCATATTTGACCAGGTTGGTTCTCATCTGCAGTTTTCCAGTACCCAGATGCTGCATACTCCCTAAGCACAATTGCCACCTGTTTCATCCAGCCCTAAAATGCTCTTATTTTATTATGCCTGACTCACTGCAAACTCACCATACCAGGACTACAGCCTTCTGCATCCAGCTACCCTACTACTAGTCTGTTTTGGGTTTGCACTCTCAATCAGACACACTGTTCCATGCTTGTCTTATTGTAACCACAACAGTGGTGAAGCTTGTGCCTCTCCTGCAAAGTCCGCTCACAACTCCTAGATCAGAGCAACAAGGCTGTGAAAGTAAGCTGATGTGATGAATAAGTATACACTGGAAAGCCAATCGCGTTTCAGGCATCTGTGAAATTCTGCTTTTGCCCTCTGCAGACAGCCTTTCAAACTGAGTCTCAGCAATATTTTTAAACACTTGATATCATATTGATGATCAACTGTCTTATCACACCAACTTGCACGTGCTTTTCTTTGTTCCAAGGCTCTATTCAAGGCCATGCTACATGCCAAGTCATATTACATTAAACTCTTATTGATCCTTATTAGCAGAATGCTCACATACACAGTCAATTTCTCATAAATCTCAACATATGTCTAGCTGTTAGGAAACTAGGGTATGCAGCAGTTTTCCAGCAGTTTTTCCATCACAACTCTTTCTGAAAGCAAACGTGGTGTTACTAGTTACCGGCTGTCCCAGACTGCCACCTACTGGTCGCCAGGAACATAATCTGTGCTGTGAGTGGTATTTTTCCAAGTAAACGTGTTTCAGACATTGGAGCAGACTGACGCACTCTACTGGCAGCTTACTGCAAAGTAACCGTGTCACTGACAAAGACTGCTTTATAGCTGCCCTGCGTGCAGTTATTGTGAATTTGCTGACTACAACGTTTGTATAAGTCTGTAATTACAAAGTCTTCTGAATGTTTAAATCTGATCAAATCAACTTTACTTAAAATACTGTGTCAAATTTCCCTAAAACTCAATGAAAAGTTATTAAAAAAATACAGACAACCCAAATACTACAGTTGGGTTCAGAAGATCCTTTATATAAACAGCATTTTGCTGTCAAGCACTATAAGCAAGGCAATATTACGTTTCCCATAAAACATGCAATAGGTACAAATAGGTACAAGAGGACACAAAGCAACCACAGTTGCTGTGAGTCACAGCCACATTAATCATGACAAAGCTAGCATACCAACTAACCCCAGGAACCTCAGCCTGCTCTTTCCTCTGAATATGAAGGAGCCAAAGTAATGGCAGAAGGTGCAGCACAGTTTTTAAAAGTTTGCCTGCTTGAACACCCCAGGACAAGCAGGCAGAGCTTCCTTGTTACAGACAATGCTACCTACCTAACAACTCTAAGATGTGGTTGCCAATAGCAGCACAGTGGAGTCCAAATAAATAAGCAGTAGGCTATGGAAGAGTAAGCAATTGAACAAGCTTGTCTAGCTGGAACTGCTTCAAACAGTCTGATCAGAGCATAGCTATGTAGTCTGCTTTCAGCACAATTAGAAGTTCAAACAAAAAAAAATGCTCAAGTTTCTCTCTTACTCTACAGAAAGCTGTCTCTAGAAGGACACGGGTAGCTGACCCATATCTTCACACGCCAAATGACAGCCACACTGTCATGCCACACTGGAGTACCTAGATCATGGTAGTGAATGCCCAGTTGGCCACACAAAGTTTAAAGACTTACAGCTTGCATAGAAAACTGACAAGGGCTGTGTTTGCACCACAGCAGGAGGTATCAAGATCAATAAAACAAAATGAAGTGCTGTAAAGCAGTTTGAAGGAATCCAAGCCATCCAGACCTAACAATAGTTTAAGAAAGGTTTGGTTTCATTGGTGTATAGCATATAGCAACCAACAGTTTAAGAATGCTTCAAGCAACAGCACGATCTCAACTCCCCGTATTTCACATCAACATCCATTTCAAGATCAATCCTACTGAGCCAAATATACATCTCTAGTGCACAGAATGAAAAGCTCCAGGTGATGAGTAATGTCATAATTCTGTACCTGGAAGCCCCATTATGTCACTTAGATCCCACACAAAGTCTTGCCATAGAGCAACAGCTTGTTTAGTCAGATATCTTTATTTGCTGTATCACCCAAGTGTACAAATACTGAACGTAGTTATACAAATTCAAAATATACTGTAGTAGAAATCCATCTGGGAAATGGAATGTTAAAGATATTTGCTTTATAAAATTTCTACACATAAGTCATTCCCACTTGCAACTTTCAAATATCAAGTCTACAACAACAGATTGCTTCGCGATCCTGGAAAATAGGAATTCTTCTCCAAGATTTTCTGCTAGATGAAGAATCAGTCAACAGCAAATTAATTCTTTTTTTCCCCCAACATTTGACTCATTTTGAGTTATCAGTCAACAGGATGTTAGCTACATCCAGGCAACTCATATGCAGTTCTGCTCTCATTTATACCAAGGAAGTCAGTACATATTAAGTATTAGTCAAATAACCTCAGTGACAGTATTTATTTTAAGATTATGAAATTGAGCCAATAAGTTACCCCAGCCATTGAGTGCAATTGATTTTTTTTTTTTTTTAATTCCTTCACATTTTCAGAATAAGGCTCCTTAGTTCTTGAGCAAGTCAATACAGCTTTGCAGGAGAGAGACGTTATTCTGGAAAGGAAGATAATTAGTTTCAGGTGAGTCAGACTGATTGTGTAAATCAGGTTTTCAACAATGAAGGAGCTTTCAAAATGTCAGGTCCATCCCCAGATTTTGTCACATGTGACAGCAATTAAGAGATTGTACTGCAGAAACAAGTATTCAAGCACTGTCAAAAACAGCCAGTGGTCTGCTCCTCTCTGTAAACCTGCAACTGTGACCTTGTCTGTGGGAAGAAGGAAAAGGACAGGAGACAAGGAATTTTTTTTTTTTTTTTTAAGTGGGCTAAACAGTGCCTTTCTTATATCTAATTTAAGCACAGCACTGAAGTAGCTACCCATAATGAAGTCCAAGGAATGGAAAATTAGATTCTTTAGACTTCCCAAAAGAGGCTAGAGTTGCTTCTTCAGGCTTCCCACTTTGTTCTCTAAACTAGCAGACTCTACAATTAGTATTCCTACATTCAGATTACAGCACATAACTTGGCCTCCCCATCTGCCATCAAGTTTGCTCAGCACAGAGCCTCCCTTCACAAAGCCAAACAAGAAGAGTCGACAGCTAGATCACAAGCTGCAGAATGTGCCCACAGCTCTCATTAATGCATCCACAGCTGCCCACTATCAGGCATATTCGGGAGGGGTCAAATCCCATAGATGAAGAGGCTTCACAGGAAGTTTAAATGAAAGGGCAGCCTGCTACATGCTAAACTGAGAATTCTTACTCTCAGGACAACAGGCCAGTGTCCTAGGAGTGACAGGCTGAAAACCTTTGTCCCATAAGACAGTCAGAGACTGCCAGCACTTGTTCATTGTATATACAAATACCTACAGACTTTCAATTCCTTTTTCTCCTCTTCTCTAGATCTCAGTTAAAACAGTCAGGTTCTCTATTTTACAATTACTTGTCTTAAGAGGAAACCCAGCAAGTTGTAGGTTACACATTATTCACTTATCTCAAGCTACCTCTGTTAAATTCTAAAGAACACACCTTTGCATGTTTTATTTCCAGTTCTGCCATTTCAATTAGGTTTTTGCGGAAGGCTGTTATTCTCTTCTGTTTGAAGCTTATCAATTCTGTAGGAAGAAAGCATAAGCACAGGTGAAAGATGTACAAAGTAGTGACTGAAGTTTCAGTAATGCCCTTTGTGTTTTGTATTGTGCAACTCTAGTACAGCGTTGACCACAAGAAGATTTAAGAGCTAAGTCTCGCTGTTTCTAGCCAGAATATGCAATAAATCACATAACAGTGCTATCTTAGTAGACAAGTTGCCTATCTGCTCTGAAACAGAAGGGTTTCATAGGAAAACAACACAAAATAGTGAGCCACATAAGCTCTGGGAGAAGCTGGAGCATTTGGAAACCAGGAATAGAAAGGAAGTTGTGTGCAACCTGAAGGTACGTTTCTTTTTAATACTGGCTAAAAGCATACAACTAAGAAGCAGCATTTGAGATTTGGTATCAGGCACTCAGCAGCACCAGGACAGAGGAAAAAAGTCTGTTTCCACAGTCGTTTGGTGTGGAAGCTAAGAACAAGAGTTCAGTCTAGAAAGCAAATGAGGGCTTCTATTTAAGGTTGGTCTAGTACAGACCCAGCTCAGCTTCAGACAATCATTCTTCTGAAGATACAGTTGCATTAATTTTTTTACATGCATTTACACAGTCCCTAAAAATTTCAGGCTACTTGCTACAGGAGAGTGTTCAGAAGACCACAGCTGTTCAAGGTCACATTAAAACCACAACTGCATTAAAATCTCCCTTGAGGATAAGTACAGCAAAGTCTTTTTCACCTTGTTTGGCAGATTCTGAAATCTTTTCAAACTTCTGGTAACAATCCTGTTGATGTGCCTCAGCCAGATTGACATCCTTGCTCTTTAGCCTGGCTTTGTCTAGAGCTTTGTTTGAATTTTCATAACCAACAAGAGCCCTTGCACGTCTGTACAGAAGATCCTGAAAGCAGACAGGAATAACATGTAGAAATCTTAAGAGGACCACAGTCCAAATTGAGTTACAACTACTTTAGCAGGTGGTTTCACTTCTTCCAGCACTAGATTATGCTTTTTGTAAAAAGCTGTTCTAACACTCTTTACTCTTAGCAAAGCAGTAGAAGTGTTTCACCAGTACAGTATCACATGCTCAAGACAGTAATTTATGTCTTAATCAAGGAAGTTTGAGGGCTATTTTAGTCATAATCACTCCCTTTAATACAGTTTCATCCTTCTGTAAGGTGGGCCTTCCCACCAAGTAGTATTAACACTACCTGTTGGAAATCCAGACTCCAGTAGCTGTCACATGTTTACCACATAACCATGTGAAAGGGCTCCAGTACTTGGGATTTATTTAGGATTTTTAATTTGTCATCAGCATTTTTAATGGGTTATAAATACTGGAAGTATCAGAATACTGGGAACTGAAACTCAATTGACTCTAACTCACAAGAATCCATTGAGCTGTGGCCAAAGAAGGCCAACAGCATCCTGAGGTATATTAAAAAAGAACATGGCCAGCAAATGGAAGGAGGTTCCCCTCTACTCTATCCTAGGTGAGGACACACTGGAGTACTGTCTCCAATTCTGGGCTCCCCAGTTCAAAAAAGACAGATCTCCTAGAAGGAGTCTAGTGGAGAGTGACAAAGACAATTAAGGGCCTGAAGCATCTCCCATAGAGCTTCTTTACTGTCAGAGTGACAAAGCAGTAAAAGCAGCTGCCTAGAGAGGTTGTCAAGTCTTCTCTGGAGATATTCAAGACTTGTCTGGACACTTACCTGTCCAACATACTATAGGGAACCTGCTTTAGCAAGTAGGTAGGACTCAATCTCTAGACATCCCTTCCAACTCCTACAATTCTGTGATTCTGAGTTCTTTACCTCTACATGCCAAAGAAACTGGCCAGATATCTTAACCCTTTCATAAGCAGACTAGACAGTAGTTGCATACATAGTTTCTATATTCTGCTGTCATTCAAAAGTGCCAGGTTTCTTAAGTGAGACAAGGGTCCACTTTCCTATCTTCTCAAAGCAGAAATAACTTAGTCACAATTCCCATAAAAACAAGCTTCAAAAAGAAAACAGTTCTCACCTTAGCAGCATCTATATTGAGCATGTAGTACCTCAACAGTTCAGAGAGCTTTAAGTCTTCATCAGATGAAACTCTACTCTCCACCTTCTGCAGAAGAGATTATAGAATCTGCATGTAACAGGACAGCGTCATCTAGACTTACAGATTTGTGTTATTTTTACTTTTCCCAAAACTTCTCTTACCCTGAGTTTCTCAAAGAGCTCAGCAACTTTCAGCAAGTACCTCAGGGAAGAAAATGCATAAGCATTAGATATAGATGTAGACAAGAGATTCAAAAAGATGGTCTAGGTAGAAACATAGACAAAAGGTTTAATGCAAGAGGTGCTGGATTCCTTTTTTAACAGACTAGTGGAGTCGAGCAACTGGACACCATTTAAAATAACAATGAACAAGTAGCATTAACAATCTTGTAAAGAATTTCCCACTGCTACTCTCCAAGAGTGATAGACTATTTTGTCAGGGTTTTTTTTTCCAGCTATAAACTGCATTAACAAGGCTCAGTACATTGTTATCAAGATAATTTATCTATTTATCTTAGAATCACCAGGCTTCCACAAGGTGAAAAAAACTATTTTGGAACTTGAGAGGTTCTAATGTAAGTTGTAAATGTATTTAATACATCAGAATACAGGGGTGTAATTCTTCCTATATTCTCTGAGTTCGTGACATGAATAAAATTCAGGGCTTCTACACTGAAGCAGCTTTGAGCAGTACAGTTCAGCTCTGCCGCACAAGTGGCAAAAGATCAGTTAGGTAACTAACCAATGGAGCTGATATTCTTTCCTCTGATGCACCAGGTGAAAGAAAGTTTCATTGCCATTCGTATGCAATTCAAGAAACCCAAACTAGCTATGACTCAATCCCCTGGATTTTCTGAAAGCTTAGAATACCCAGACTCAGAATGTTATGAGCAATTAGCATTGCTTACTTTTTGATAACTGTAGGTTCTTCTAATGCCAGGCTGTTCAAGCAAGCTGAAGTATAAATATAGTCATCTGCAATATCTGCAAGAACAAGAGAAGGTGTTCAGGGTACAGAAATCACTAAATCCAGTGAGACTGCAGGTCTTTAGAAAGGTCTTTGAAAAGATTCACTTTTACGAGATCTTGTCATCTTATCTGCTTTTGCACATGCATCCTTGATCCTGTTGTGGTAGTTTACAAGAAAAGTCTTCTCTTGCTCAAAAAAGTCATCTACTTCCTGAAAGAGAGTATAACCTGTTAAGTTACTTTACCACAGAGCACAGGCACTTTTCTATTTAAGGATGGGTCTAAACAAACACCATTAGCTACCTGAGTTTTATGCCTGTCAACCTCTACTGAAAAGCAGACTTCAAGAAAAGACCCTGAGAATTTCTAAATATTTGATAAGATTTTTTTTTATTTTTACACATTGAAGCAAAGATGGATTTGACACACAACTACTCAGCACTGCAGGCTGTCTGAAGTAACCAGAGAGCTCTTAAGGCTAACAGCTGTTACAATTTCATTTCCCAGACCTTTAACAGCACAGTAGCAGTTTACAAGCTTATTTCAAATCCATACAACATATATGTACTGTAATATCAGCTTCATGACATGGTGTTTAGGATAGCAAGTCTATTAAAGAGAGCTACCATGGCAACAAGGTAGAAAAGCTGAAGTTGAACCACTTACAGGAGTCTCTGATATTTTAACCAGTAGAAGCAGAAATCATAACTTATGTTTTATTCAGACCTCTAAAGTAGACAAAAGCATGTTTGCTGAAGGGAAGATTCCCTCTTCCCCAGCAGGATCAGGTGTTAGGGCAACTCTTGCACATAAGATTCTTGAAATATACTCAGGTTTTTAGCAGTCTATACCCTCAGTGTCTTTTTTTATTTAAATAAAGTCAAAAGGTTACTCTGCACACCTTGGAACAGCAGCAAGGTTTGCAGTAGTAACTCTAAGCCTCACATACATTAAGCCTAAAGCACATAAGTAATGTCCCTTAAGAAATAAGAAGCAATCAAGAATAAAGCAAGCAGGAGGTAAACCAACTACCTTACCTTGACTCCAGACAAGAGGATTTCATCTGCACTCTTTACCACACTTTTTAGAAGGAAACCAAGCATCTCTTTCGTGTTTTTCCTCCGAACACTCAGCTAGAAGAGAGGCCAAGACAGCTTCAAATTAATCCAGGATGGATGCAGGGAGAAGATGACTACTTTAACGTTAACAGAATATTAACATCACTTATATCTAACACATGACAGAGCAGCCTGATTTACAAGCTCTCCTTAACACCCCTGTAAGTTCTATTTGTTACCTTTACCATCTTTTATAGCTTTATTAGCAGTTCAACTACTCCACAACAGGACAGCTCAGCTTCTCCCTAGGTAACATTGATCAGCATCCACCACTTATGAGGTACAAAACAGATGCAGTACTAATTTCAGGACACCAATATTCTTCATTTTAGAGGGTCATGAAAGAGACAGCAGAAACACACCTGCATAATATTTGTTCCTAAGATCCAAGGACATATCAAGTTGGCTTCCTAACTTGAAAACAATTAAGAAATGCAACAAAGTGACCTAAAGACAGGCCTTTATTTTTCAGTTATTTCCAGAACTACTACTGGCAACATCTTGCTGACACTGTGGGTAGATTTATATAATATTCTAACCTAACCACACAGAAGAGTGGCAGCTCTTCTAACACCCTGCCTCACGTGCAAAGTAGAAAGTGTCTTACATCCTGGTCATACTCCAGGAAAACACAAAAATTGTGATCTTTGCTGAGCACAGGGTGAGAAGAAATCCGCTGAAGGAAGATTTCATGTGATGACACAGTCTTCTTGAAGACAGCGAGGTATTCACTGAAAGGAAAAAAAAACAGACTGAGATCCATCTGCAATTCCATTGTACAAAGAATTGCTTCAAGTTTTCCAGTAAAACTATTCAGTGTGCCTCTGAAATAGCCAGCTAGCAATTGAGAAGCTACTTTCAGTCTGTAACCAGGAAATTTTCCACTTTGAGAGAAGCTTAATCTACTCCCAAATTCCAGGATTTTACAGAATATCAGGCAGCAGCACCTTCAACATCAGTTACCACTAAGTATATTGCTCTCCCAGAAGGCTTCTTTACATTCAGCCCTTAGCAGCAGACTCATTCTACTTACGCTTCTAGCTCTTGCTTCATTTTGGCAAACTCTTCTTTGGTCATAGATACTTCTCCTTCCCCTAGTTTCTGCATCTTCTCTCTGGGACCATCAAAGTCAGGCTTCGAAGGGGCTGGAGGTATCTAGCAAAGGGATAATTGGTTAGGAATAAACAGTAACAATCTTAAACTTTACAAAGTTACTTCCAGCAATCTGTAGGAGGCAGTCTTTTTGCATGGGCACCTCAAGTCAGCCAGGCTCTGCAACAAGGAAGCTTAAATGCCAAAGTCTCATCTCCCCTCCAGCTCTGTGCTACTCCTGCACTTAGAAGCCAAACAAGAGAAAAAAATATCTCTACTATCCAAACCATAGCCAGCTGCCTGCTGTAGCAGTTGAATAACCTTACGACAAGAAAGACAACTTAATGGATCAGTCTACTGTATCACCTTCAGGCACATACTAGCCCCACTGTGGTGTCAGGGACTGAGGCCTGTGGCTGTTTTGCTGCTCCCAGCCAGTCTATAAGGAAAGTTACACTAGAGCTATACCACTCAAGTGAGTAACTAAAGCAGAAGAAAGCATAAGGAATACCCATGTTATGAAACACTAACAGCAATAGTAAAAACAGACTTCGTGTCTTTACTAATTTCCACATTAAATTACCACAGAATTCTGTTTAGAATCACATTTTCAGGAACTACTTACAATGAGTCCTGCATACTCCTCAGTTTCACTGAGTGTGTCATGCAGCCACACAAAATCTTCATGCTGCCTTGTAACTGAAAACTCAGGACTTTGAAAAGCTGGCAGTGTAGTCTGGAAGGGAAGATAAGGAAGCTTCACTGTTTTGTAAATGAGTGCTTTTAGAAACAGTTCTATTTTCAAAGGAAGCTATTTTGCCTAGTAAGAGCCTCGCCTACTCCTTTTTAGCTGAGCTGGCACTCAAATGAGAGCCTTACTAAGAACATTATTTGAAGAAAAGGCACTGCTGTAGAACAGCATTCATACAGTTTATTTTGTGACATCTCTGCCTTCCCCCCAACCCCCAGCCTTCCTAGGCTCAAGCTACTTTATTTATTTATTTATTTATTTTAAAGTAAAGCCAACCTAGTGTATCAATTACCTTGTCTCTAAAGGGAGCGTTCAAGTCTTAAGTGTAAAGGTTTCTGTCTTTATACCCTCAGGCCACCTTTAAGTGGAAAAGCTCCATTTAATTAGATTTTCCTCATTGCCAAACCCATCTTTGCATGCTCATTACAAATACATAGATTACTTGCATCATATCTACAAAGAGCACTTCCTAGTCCTGTTATCTTACCTTAGTATGTACCGTGAACTTCACTCTGTCCTTTTCACTCAGTGCATCAGGTATATCAATTTGAAGAGAAGGATCAACATTCAGGTCTACAGATACAGACCTCAGCTGCAACAGAATTCACAAAACAAGCTCTGATCAAGCATTGAGTAGGTTTAATGAAGCTAAATTGGTCAATGGCATTGTCAACAGGAACCACATCGCAGCAGACTGCTGTCTCGAGGAGCAGCACACACAGAGGTCTAACAGCCTCAACACAATCCTCCCTTCCAAGTGCATAAAATAAGAAGAGTGTTACTTAAGAGCCCACAGACCTGACTGTTAGGGAACACACTAAGGGTATTAGTAAAATATTCCTAGAAAGAAGCATCTTCCCTCCAGCACTTCTCCAGCTAATTTACTTAAGCACATCAAGCCAAAGTCTATTAAATCATTTTGAAGGGAGTAACAACACTAACAGTTCTCCTCATTCTTTATCTCCACAATATATGGAAGAACAGCTCTTAAGAGCCTAGTCTTGTGATCTGTTTCCTTATCTTTACATCAGAGAGCTGCTTTGGCACAATTGATTTTTATCCACCATAAAGGGCAACCCATAAACAAAAAACTGGGCGCTTCCTCCTCTGGCTCAGATTGGTCACTGCTGCCACTCTGATCTCCCAAGACTACTATACACGAAGTTAGGTTCCACAGTGGCACTTCTAACTGCTCTAACAGCTGTGAAGGCTTCTTTGCCCCCAGGGAAAAATGGAGCAGATGCCTAAAACCTCCTTAGACTCCCACAAGTCTAAGATCCAAGTGTTTGCCAGAAACAGGACGAGAACCCAAGAATACTGGAGTACTAACCCTGCATCAGTATAATCTTATTTTCAAAGTACCTGGCATCAAGTTAATAGCTGCTGGAATGCACACATGCTATTTAAAGAAAGCCCCCGTGAGCTAGAATGAGAACTAGTTTCAGAGATACCTGAACTTTGCTTTATGAAAGCTATTTATACTTGTAACTACAAGTCTCCACCTCTCCTGAGTTCAAGTCTTACCTTACCTAGACAGAGTCTTTGCCTGGCAACCCTTTAGTGCTATTTGCTTCTACTTGGAGCACCTATGAAGAGGTTTCTGAGCATGCTATGTGGATGAGCTCCAAATAAACCCTTAACAGGAGATTGCAGAGCATATCAGGTTCAAAGACCAGACTTGCCCTCCCACTGATTCAGACAGGGACTTTAAACAGATCCAGCATCTTCCTCAGCAGGAGACACTTCTTTCCAACAGCTTAAGTCAAAATACCATTTCAACTGTGCTTAATTTTTTCTAGAGCAATGGAGTAGCCTTCTCATTCAAAGATGTAAGGGGTGAAGGAGCTCTGAGCTCAAGTCACAGCCTTGCAGATATTCCTTATGAGGACAATGCTTTTGGTCTCACAGCAGATGAGGCTGAGGCAATCATCACTATGCTCTGGGATACCAGGGAAGTGGCCAAGTTATGCTGAACCTTACTGCTCTAGAGCACAAGCATTAGTCATTTTCTCCCTCTTGTTTATGAATTGAGCATCCTTCAATTAGTTGTACTACAGTGCTTGTACCTAAATGTTCAGGGCAAACAGCCACAGACAGCTACATGACCTCAGCAGGAAGCAAAGGCATATCCAGCATAGATAACTGATGATTTTCAATACATGCATCCAGTTCCTACACCAAGTAGATGTAGTGATCTAGATATCAAGAAATACAAGCTATTGGTAACAAGAACACAAGTTGCTGCCAGCCCCAGCCTACATTATGGTGGTTCTTGCATTACAAATCTTGTCTCATAAGAGGCTCTTCCCCCAGCACTGCAGTATAACAAATCATTCTTATTTCCTGCGTAAGGGAGAAACTGCTGATCAAGGTCACAGCACAGGAAGTTTGCTGAAGAGCAACTGTCAGAGCCGGGCCAAATCCCGAAACTATCCTTTAGAGATTATTTTGAATGCATTACCAGGAAAGCAAGCTCAAGAGCTGGGCTGAGGCAATGCCGCTTCACCACCCTGCAGCATATTGGCTAACAGAAGCCAGGAGCCTGCACACACCACCTGCTAACCACAAGATCCAGCAGCAAACTCACAAGGAAACAGCATTAGACAGCATCGGAGCAAAGCCATCACACTACAGATTGCTTGAATGCTGCTTTTTAAGCTTCTGTGTAGAGCAGCATAAGAACTGATGAGGGGTTGTCCTTTTTAAGGTGAAAGCTTCACTTCCAGGAGCTTTGGAAACCTCCCTCCCCCTCATCTGGCCATCTGTGAACTGAAATCCAGACCTGGCAGACAGCAAGTCTCCCCACTAGCCTGCAGAGGACACAGCTGCCAGGGTGGCAAGCACTGCCTCTAGCCAGGCTTCTGCTGGCTAGACTCCAGCTATCACTAATAGTTACTGTTAGCAAATACACCAAGGTCCCCACACCTAAGAGAGGGATACCCCAAACACTGTGCTTACAGAGCATATCCTGTAAGGGCAGCCCTAGCAGCTCAGACACTGCTCAGCTCTGAATGTATGAGACTCCCAGCACCATGGGGACCCCAGCCATAGAGTGAGGCTGCTAATCACACTCCCCTACCTGCACACAGCTCTCCCTAAGAAGGAATAGATGAAGCATCACAACACAGAGGTGTGGTTCAAACATCACCAACAGCAGCCACACCACTCCACTCAAGTACTAGAGGAAGACTAGGTAGAAGGCCACCATTCAGGGAATAGTTTCACAAGGAGCAGAGCTTTAAGTTTGTTGCCATCTGAATGAAAGGCAACTTTCCGAATTTCCCAGCAGCTATAACGCCAGATAACACCAGCAGCCAAAGCAGTGAGATGCAGCCCCTCTTACTGTGTTTTGCATCCTGCTTACTTATCTCCACTGTCCAAACAGGATCAGCAGAACTAACAATACAAACTGCTGAGTCTGTGAAAAGCACGATAAGCTAAAGGAAACTGCCTCCTCTCAGCTAAACTACAGGAAAGGTTACACAAACCAGCCAGTCCTCAACTTGGGAGCTTTCTTAAGCATCACAGAGGAAGTAACCTGTGATTAGATGCTGTCCTCAGCTCTCCATGCCTGGTAGTTGCCTGCACAGGAGGTAGAGATGAATGTATGGATGTAAGATTGGTTGGATGGTACTGTTTTGTCAGGTTAAAACAATTTGGCAAGAACATGCAATCTACAACTTCAGAACTCCCCAGTAATGCTACTTAAACAGAGCTTAGTGCTCCAACAGGGCCTCATTTACTAAGAACAACTAGGAGTCATCAGCAGTACACCTCAGAGCAGTACATACAGACACACGGCCCACAACAGGAGGGTCCAAAAACCAAAACAATAATCAAGAACTAACTGCTGAAGAAGTCTTGCACCTTCTCCTGCCAACATCTACTGTAAACACATGACTATCTAGCCTATGCATAAAGATCACTGCAGGCTGAAACATCAAGCATTTCACTGTTGGAGCGTAGCACAGGATTATCAACTCTATCCAGAGCCTTAGCATCAGGCCTTTCAGGAATATGAAACTGAGGATCAGAAAGCCACCAGTCTATTCTAGCCCTGTGAAGGTCACTGTGGCTTCAAACTCCAGGCCAGAGACCTTTCAGATAACACAATCATGGCAGAAAGGCTCACACTACAAAGAGAGCATTCACACAGCTGAGCTTTGTGCAGAGTGCTGTTTCCCTATAGCATTTCTCCACTCAACTGGAACCAAGGAGCTTCTTCCCCCCCCACCTCCTCCTCCACCCAAACTTATCAGCTCTACAAGGCACTAACTCAGTGAGCACCCAGAGCAGATGCTCTACACTAATGCCTGATCTCAACACAATTACCTGCCCCAGCAGCACCAGCAGTTCATCTTTCAAGATATGTTTGCTATCACTCCTCTTACACCCATCCCATATGCAGCAATGAGAAAAAACTTGCTTACAGTCACAAGCAGGCTGTGCAGAGCCTTCTTTCATCTCCAGGCCCCAAGGCTTGTTCCTTTACTATATTAGGCACCCAGCCCAAGATCTCCCTGGGAAACTACCCTAGTCGAGCCCCCCCAGCCTGCCATGCCTAACAGCTCTTCTCCATCAGGATGCATTTCACAGCTAGAACATCATTGCTTCCTCCCTACAATCAGCAGGACCAAGATTCCCCATCTCAGCAACCAGAATCTAATCTGTTCTCCCTCACATCCTCAGTGCCAGGGGAATAAGACCAGAGCTCAGCAGCTCGTGAACACATGCCTCACTTATAGCAGAGAGGTGCTAAGGATGGTAGCTCCTGAAGCAGCGCAGCAGGGAAGCAGCTGAATTGGGTTGGAACCTTCAACACTCCAACTAGCAGGGCACAGCATCCCTACTTTCACCTCTTATTTCCCTTTCTCAGAAAGATTTTAGACGTTTATGGTTTGCAGCAACTACAGCAACTTTTACAGTACTGATGCCTTCAGCTTCTCATGCCTCTTTACCAACTTATACTCAGACCCTCAGGACTTCATGCAGATTCAAGAAAGTCTGATCCCTGTTCAGTAAAGATACAATCCACAATAGCTCCTACTTAGCCTGACTTGGCAATTAGAGCAGGACATCACACGAAGCTCTCCAGAAAAACAGATAATCATCACATTGATTGCTTCAAGCTTCAGAACACATATTATGGTACTAATGAGTAAATAACCTAATCCCGACACTAAAGAGAAAACATAACAAGGAGAATATCACTGACCAATCCAGGCAGAATTTTACAGCAGTTTTTCTACTGCTTAAAGGAGGAAGTTGGACCACCTAAGTACAATCCAGTGCTGATCATCACCTACTCAGGCTTCAACTTGACAAACAAGTTTCTGATCAGGCCTCACTCAACACAAGCACATCTTCATACTTGCAAGCTTCCAGTGGAAAGAAACATCCTCAGCCACAGAAGCTGCCTGGTTCTGGCAAGTATCCCAAGCTGCAGCTTTTAGTCTCACATTCTTTGCAATTTAGCATTAGTTTTGCTGAAATGACTCAAGTCACTTCTCCATTCTAACAAAAGAATCTGCCAGTGCAAGCAACTGCATACAACATTTGACTGGTAGTGAAAATAAGTATTCATATTCATTCTCAGTGTCAGATTAATCAAGCAGAAAGGCAGGACAAGGAAAATGGTTTTAAGCTGAAGATTTACATTGGATGTCAGGGGGAAGATCTTTACAGAGAGAGTGGTGAAGTACAGGAACAGGCTGCCCAGAGAGGCTGTGGATGCCCCACACCTGGAGGTGTTCAAGGCCAGTTTGGATGGGGCCCTGGACTGCCTGGTCTTGTATTAGATATGGAGACTGGTGACCCTGCCAGCAGCAGGCGGCTTGGAGATTGATGATCCTTGAGATCCCTTCCAACCCAAGCCATTCTGTGATCCTGTGAAAGCAGGTTCTATGGCTAGAGCACCTGTTGCCACTGGCTGTGCAATAAGCTCCCTGATCATTCTGCTCTCCTGTCAAAGGGATCCCAGACTCGCTCTTCTCTCAAGTGGTCAAACAGCCCTCTATAGAGGAAAGGAGTTGTGGGCACGATACTGCCAGCATTCAGGGCTCCCATATTTCAAGCCAAAGCCTCTAACTCACCTTGCTCCAGCTAGCAGCACACAGGAACTCCCCCCACTCCAGGAATCAAGCACCAGCTTCCGCAACACAAGCCAAATCCACCCTGCCATAGCAATTGGCCTGCAGAGCACAGCCTGAGGCGAAGTACTTCCAGTCTGTATTTCATCTATAACATGAAGCATGCCAAGCTAAGATGGAAATTGTGCAACAGAAGCAAGCCCCTAATCTATACTCAGCATTTCCAAGAATGCTTTGCCAACCTCCCATAGCGAGGCCAGAAAAAGAGACTCTGCAACACATGCAATCTTCATCTCCCATGGATCAGATTTTCTGTCAGTCCAAACCACTAGGCCAACTTTATAGACTCTTACAGACTGGATAGCACACTATTCATATACAGTAACTATCACCTTGCTAGTAGGTCATCTCCCTATAAAGTGTTTTCTTGCAGAGCAAGAGACCTAGTAGGCAACTCTTTTCCAGAGCATCTAGCAGAAGTTAGCTAGAACAGAGAACTGCCATTCAGAAGTGCTAGCAGCAGGTCCCCAGCAAAAGCCTAGAAACATAGTATTTCATCTTCCAATGACCATCATGAAGAAGAGCAGCCACAACACTCACTATTTTGAGATATAACAGTATTTTGAACACCTAAGTCCGCAGAATAATCAAGCATTTGAACAATTTCAGTATATTCACACAAGTTTTGCTTGGCAGTCCCACTGCTTGCTTCACTTTCTGAAGTGCCTTTTCCTCTCCATTATACTATCTTTTCCACTGCACTTCCAATCCCCTTTATCCTACCAACCCTCCCTTCCTCTTCCTATATATCTTCACACTCTTCTGCTTTACCCACTCAGGGTCAGTTTTTAGTTTATACACACTAACAATTCCTACTCAAGGTTAGCACACAATGATGTTTCCTTCACAGACAGAAACTTAATCTACTGCCCACATACCTAAACAGGAACAGACAAGATAGCTGTGTTTCTATCTTCACTGCAGCTGCTGGAATCCCAAGACAGCCTTACTGCCTGAATAGCTAGTTAATCTTTGGTCATTTACTTCTGGAGTTTAAAGCTACTTGAACCCTTAGTGGGAACATTTTCCCCTCCCTTCAGCATTCCTGCCCACTATGTTAGAAAGGCAGATTAATACACAGTTACTCATCGCTGCAAGACAGCTGATGTTTTACCTTCTCACCTGCAGGTTCTGCAGCCTACAAAAGCTTTCACTCACTACTCTCAAGTGACAGATACTTCATTTAATGCTTGTCATTTAACGCGTAGCAGAAAGAAGTAGAAGTAGCAGCTGATTCACAATTCAAAGCGAAGAACTAGAAGACACGATACTTAAGATTCTGTCAATTCAATAGGTCAAGTTTGTTTTAAAAGTTTCATGTTTTAGGGAAGCAGATGGAAAGAAAGAGGTTATTTAACAAGATTGTTCAAGGCAGATGTATTTTTTACATCTGGAAGAGACCTTAAATTCAATCCAATTCCAACCCTCAGCCATGGACAGGGCTGCCCCCCAACGGCTCAGGCTGCCCAGGGCTCATCCAACCTGGCCTTGAGCATCTCCAGGGATGGGGCACCCACAACCTCCGTGGGCAGCTGTGCCAGAGCCTCACTACCACCAAGTAAAAAATTCCCTCTTTATATCTAAGTCTCTCCTCTTTTAGAGAAGGCATTTCTAGCCTTTCAAGTCCTTCAAGGTACCTCCTAGAAGGTTGGAAAGGACACTGAGAAGACAACCCTTAAGCAGCATAAACAGCTTAAAGCACAGTTCATCTTCCAGTGAGTTCAGTTTAGGCATAATGCAAACTATGGTCAGATCCAACATTACAGAGGCTGGCCAGGCAGCTGGAAGGCTGCCTTCCCTTCCACCCGGCGCGTTGGAGGCAGCTATTAAGGCACGCAGACTAAACTAGGCAGACCACTCGGTAAAAGAGGCATCTCTAAGCACTGCCTGCACGCACTCCCATTAAACACCTCACGAAGTTCCCGTCTCAGCCTTTAAGCTGCACTTCCTCTGAAACAGCGCCCGAACCCAGCAAACCATCCCACACACGTTCAGGGCTTCGACGTCCCAAGGCAGCACCTCACGGAACGCAAAACCAAGGCAGTGCCCAACACGACAGCCGGAGCGGGAGGGAGTGAGGGAGGCACAGCCCAGTGACAGCTGACAGCCCCCCAGCGCAGGCCACCGCCTGGGACCGCACCTCGCAACGCCGGCAGCCCGGCGGGGCAGGCCCAGCGCAAGACGGCCCAGCTCCCAGCACCGCCCGGCGCTGCCCCCCTCACCTTGCTTTGCGCGCCGTCCCGAAGCAGAGCCATGTCTCGCTACCGCCTGCCGCCTCACGGCCGCCGCCGCCCCTCATATAGAGCGGGGCGGGGCCGCTGCGCCCGGCCCCTCGGCGCGGCGGCCATCTTAGGTGAGGGCAGTGTGCTGTTTGCCTTCATCTAAGATGGCGGCGGAGCGCTTAACTTTTTTTTTCTCTTCACGATTTGGGGAGCTTTACAAAAGCAACGAAAACCAAACCGAGAGGAAGGTAGAACAGATACCGTGGGATTTAGCGCCGAGTTTTCCCGGTGCGGTGGAAAGGGGCCGCGGGGCTGGCGGCGGGCAGGAACTACGAATGCCGGACGAGCCGCGAAGCGCAGACGCATGGGTGCTGAGGGCGGCTGCTGTCGCGCATGCGCGCAGGCGGCGGCGGGAAGCGTGGCGCGCGGGTAGCGGCGGTTGGCGCTTCGTTCTGAGGAAACGAGGACGGACCGGGGGCCTTAGCGGGCGCGCACTGCGCTCCGCAGCGCGGGGGAAGCGGGGTGAGGCTGTGCGGGGGTCGGTTCGGTAGTGAGGGGAGAAGGCTCTTGTGGGGTTCGCTGAGGGAGAGCGGTTGAGCGGCTGCGGGGCTGCTGTGCTGCTGCGCCATCCTGCCGGGGCTTCGGTGCTATAAGTGGGGCTGCTGAGGGGAGCTTTTTTTGTTTACTTTAAGCCTTTTTTTTTTTTTTTTTTTTTCCCCTATGCTTTGTATTTCCAGACTGGTAAATTATTTGTGCCCTGACTAGCATAGCAAATACGCAGTGGTTGACCCATTGTTTATTCTGTTCTGATTGATAGGCTTGGGTGAGCAGAGTAATGGTCGTCAAACAATATTTTGAGAAGCTACAAGCTTAGATACTGTTGTGCTGGTTTGTTTTTTATTGTCTTGAGTTGAGTTTGTACTGCAAAGCTAGCTGTAGTGCTCCTGGTACTGGGTCAGAAATGGCACTAGGTGACACAAAGTTCTGATCTAATCTGATGGAATTGTCCAGGTTTTAATTTGCTTTTGACAGGTGAATTTTGTGTCAGGTCACGTGCTGTTTGCAACCTTGATGTTTTATGTTAGCTTTTTGTTAGATCAGTTATTATTTGCCTAAACCATGCAGAATCAGTGTGAAAAAGTGAAGCCTGGGAAGAAAAACTACAGTGTGTCTGCTTACTCCTGATTAAGCTTCTGCAGCTGGAAGGTCTTGTCCTTCATAGATGAACAACAGAATGGGAATGGAGTCCAAGGTCTCACCCTTTTGTTACAAGATTCTTTGATCTAAACAGCTGCAGCTGGTATAGCTCCATTTTTTTTCTGCAAGCTGTTCTGTGCAACAGATTCCTGCACCCACACTTTGCTGCCCCTGCAGTTTCACATGAGTTCAGGATCTGTGCATGCAAAACAACTCCTGTCACATTTTTGCTTTCTGTGGTGCCCATGGTTTGGGTGCTTTATGAAGTGCTGTGTAAGAAGTGTGGTGGAAAAAAAAGAGTTTTAAAGCAAGATGCTAATATTGCTTGGTGATGTGTTGCTTGTATTCTTTGTTTGCAGAGGATGGAAGAGATCTTTGTGGTGGTAAGCACATAACTTTGGGAGAATAGGGCCTCAATTCTGCAATTATGTAGTATTGATTTAAATTACATGATTCAAGTGTTTGTTTTAGCTATGTTCATAGGCATATTTATGTTATTTTCCTCTCCCTCTTTTAGGGCTGTTTGTTACAAATCATTGTTGAGTTTCATGATATTGTTGCTGTAAGAGCATCCTCTACTGCTCCTTTTGCTACTGGTAACATCTTTATGTTTGCTGATTCCAGTTCTGCACTGGTTCTTTTCAGAATTGTTTCTTGTTTCATTGCTAATGTGTTCTTTCTGATTCTGTGTTAGTAATCTAAAGGAATTTTGCTTGCATTAAGTGTATGAAGGCACCATAGCAGTTTTTTGTTTGGCAAAGGGCAAAAATAGGTTGTGTAAATAAAAGTCATAAAAATGACTTTGGAAATAACTAATTTATTTTTCTACAGGGAGAAATTATGACAGCCTACAGACCAGTCCTAACGGAAGGAAGAAAACTATAGCTGTTCACAAATGCTTCTCATCAGAATGAAACTCCTACAGCTACTGGCTGGGAAATCTGAGAAACTGGAAATGCTTTTTCAGCCACGTTTTTACCAAAAGCAGTTCCCATATATGTGTCTGGCTACCTCCGCTTGTCTTTATAGCAAGAAGAAAAAAGTGAACAGTTATGAACAAGTTGACCAAGAAAAATACAAAAGCTTGGTGTGCTCTGTTACATCTTACAAAGCCAGCGCTCAAACACCAGAGACAATATTTGAAGAAGACAATTTGTTATATGGACAACCGCTTAAACATACACCTTCAAACAAAGTTGAAACAAAAACTCCTAAGAATTGGGTTTCTCTAGTAAATCCCAGAAAGACAGTTCCACTTGTGAGCAGCAATTCAAACCGCCCCATGAAAATTGCTTTACAAAAAAACAAACTACCCAGTGTTACCCGTATTCTTCAACAGACTATCCCTCCGCAGCAGGCCTTTTATCTAGAAAGATGGAAGCAAAAAATGATACTGGAACTTGGGAAAGATGGTTTTGAAGAATACACTAAAAGTAAGTTTTATCACAATGTGACAAAGCAGAAGCAATGGCGTGTCCCAGGCAACTCTCCAGACTAGCATAGCAGCAATGTCGGGTTCTAGAAGTTGAGTGTTTTGGAAATCCATTAAGTTGTTTCAATTTCAGAGGTCAGAGTGTATTATGAGGGCACATGTTCAATGTAAGCTCTCACCTTTGTTCGAGGACCGTGAAAACTGATCCAGAAATGAGTGGGGAAAATAGAATTACACTGTAGGCTACTTTGCTCTATCCTGTCTGCCTCTGCTGTTTCTCTGTTTGCTACTTTCTCTTTACAAATATATGTTTTCCATCTCTTTGGAGATACAAAGGTATTTTGTAACTGGGTGAAAAGAAGGATTCTGAAATTATATCATCCTGATTATTCAGAAGACCACACACATTGCTCTATATGCTGAAGTTCATCAGAAACCGTGTATATAGTATATACAGCTTCTTCCATGAAGTTCAGAGGTTTTAGAGGTTTTCATTTAATAAAGTCACATACAAAAATGACTTCCCTCAAGCTGTAGGGCTGAAGACAGTCTGAGGAGACATGGAGGATAATGCCTTTTGCAGAAAGGCTGGTAAATACCCTCTAGTGCTCCTTACATGAACAGTTATTCTTTGGAAAACTGTATATCCTTTTTTATGCTCTTTCTGAGTTACTAAGCACTTGACTGAATAAGCGTACTGGGGAAAACAGACACAAACCTGATACAGGTATTTAAAATTATTCTTCTCTGAAACATTTCTGAGATAAGCCCTTTCTTTACAGAACTATGCCCACCCACTTCAAATTTGTTCAATTCAAATGAACCTGTACAACATAGAAAGCAAATGTGACTAGAAGCCTAGAATAATGTTTTTAAGCTTACAGAAATTCTCATTTGGAATACACAGTAAAATAATGTCGTTGACTAAACAGTGAAGTTCTTACTTTCTTTCTGCAGAATTAGTGAAACCAAAACAAAGCAAAGTAAGCATTAATCCGAGAGAGAATTTCTCTTTATAGTTATTTGCTGTCTTATTGTATTCCCTGCCCTACATCCTTAAGCCTTCAGCATTAAAGGTGGCTGGTTTAAGAGTTACTTTGTATAATATCTACTATGCATGCTTGCCACATATTACGTGTAATGCCTAAAGTGTTGCATCTTTCCTAGATCTTTTCCTCCAAGGAGAACTTTTTCATACAGCTTTGGAATCTATATTTCTGCCTGAAGAGATGGCAACTAAGGAGCAAGGAGAAGACTCTGCTGTTTCTGGCTACTTATCAAGCGTGCAACATGTCCTGAAAGATATCAGTGAAGTTAAAGCTCTGGAAAGTGCAGTTCAGCATGAAACTCTTAAGTACCTGGGCCTGGTAGACTGCGTGGCTAAGTATCGGTGAGGTACTGATTCTTTAAGAAGCCAAATAAAGTCCAGCTGCTGTGTGGTGTTATGTGGCATGTGGGAGCACGTGTGTTGGTGAGCTGCAGAGGGGAAGCTAGAAGGACATTCAAGAAGGGTGAAATGGAAGGACTCAGAGGTGAATCTGTTGACAGAATCGTTACTGTGCCTGTGGAGGATTTGTTTTTGAGCAGAGTGTGAGCAGTGCAGTTACCAGGAATTGCAGCAGGTATTAGGAAGTCTTTTTTTGAGATCTAAACTGCCAGCAAGGGGAAGATTTTCTTAGATTGGAAGTAATAACGAGCAACATGACTTTGGGTGGAAATGGGCTGAAAGTGATATGCCTTCTTTTGCTGTGCTATGCCTTGTTTCCTGCTGTGAGTGAATTTAAGCTGAAACGTTTTCTGTTGTCTTATGCAGAGGACAGTTATGTGTGATTGATTGGAAGACATCAGAGAAACCAAAGCCATTTCTGCAGAATACTTTTGACAACCCACTGCAAGTTGCAGCATATATTGGAGCCATAAATCATGATGCCAATTATGACTTCCAGGTCAGTAAGTCTGCTGCCAGCCAAGACAAGCAGCAGTGCCTGCGTTACTTTCCTTTCTCCCCTCTTACAGCCTTTAGCATGGAACTGTTGGTAGGATTTGTAACAAAACAGTCCAGTCCTAAGTCAGGCTAAACTGATGTACAACTTTACTGCAAAATTATTCTACTATTCTTCCTGCTGCCATTGCTTGTCCATAGTATATTGTCTGATTTTAAGGAAAGCCCTATTCAGTGGGAACAATTGTGTCCTAGAAGGTCTAGTAAAGCTGTAGTGATTGGTATTTGGTGAGTCCCTGGTGCTTTGTTCTATGTAGTTTTATCTTGTGTCAGGACTAGGAAAAGAAAGAAGAAATAAAGCAAAAGAGCATGCAAACAGGAAAATTGGATGGGAATATATCGCTCATGTCATGTGATGCTCTTAAGACTCCAAAGGTAATTGTAGCCAGGCCTGCTTGACTTGAAGAATTGCAAAGCTTTGAAGAAAATTCTTTACATTTGGGAAAATGTGAAGCAGATCTGTAAAGTACAGTATAGGAAGTAAATCAAGGGTTCTGTTAGTCTGATTCCTACCACTTTCTCTTCATCTTTCTTAAGGTTTGGATATTACAGCTGTTGGTGGCTTCCAACTCTAACCGTCCTGAGATGTTAAGATCTAAGCTGGTATTTTGCATATTAATGTTCAATCTCTAACAGCCCTCTGCTTTTAACCGTAGGTTAGTTGTGGACTCATTGTGGTTGCCTATAAGGACGGCTGCCCCGCACATCCACATTTCATGGATCCAGATCTTTGCTCACAGTATTGGAATAAGTGGCTTTTGCGTCTTGAAGAATACATGGACAAAAACTGACCCAAACTAAGCTATGCAGAGGCAAGTGATCTGAGCACACAGAGCCAAAGCACAAATCTTTTGTTTAAGTCTTTATTTAGTAATTCTGTTCTTAGTAACTTGAGCTAACTTCTATCATTTTTTCTGCTTAAAAAAAGAAAAAAAAGAAGAAAAATCAAATGGGGAATGCACATTTGCCTAAGTTGTAGGAGACTTCAGTGGACCTGGCAAGACAGAGTAGAACCTGTAACATTCCTATATTTTTCCCTCCCAGTCTATACAATTTGAAGTTGATAGGAAGGTTTCTACAATCAGCCAGCTAGATGAAGTAAAAACTGTTCAATCATCCTCCTTTTGTTTTCGAGAAAAAGCTGAGACTGAAAATGAAAAATAAATGAATATTGTTGACTGGGTTTCAGTCAAGTTAGTTCTTGCCCATTTCAAAGATATCTATTAACAGGCCTGTTACTATTTGTGTTTTTTCTTACAGCAACAAATGCAAAACTTGCACTATGAACTACAACGTAAGCTCACATAAGTACTTATTTAAAATACTATGAAAAAGTTGATTGTTTAACAGAAGTGGCTTAGGAGCAGAGGAGCAGAATTGTAACTGATACACTTAAAAATTTCTAGCAGGTGTTTTAGAAGACAGGAAGTTCTACTACTTCTGGTAGCTTCTCCTGCAGATTCAAAATGGGGTGTGTAGCCCAAGTAAAAAAAAAAATGTGAAAATGTAAATGGCCTACGTGCCTTTGGTGGTGGTCTTATAATGGACACTGCACAGGGCAAGTCTGCAACTATTTTCAGCTCTCCTGACTTTCCTGTGAGTCTGAGCAGATGAGGAGCCTACCTGTGCAGAACTATTTCCAGTGTCAGGTGTTAGCATTTTCCAGTACAAGTGGATTTCTTTACAAAGTCACAGATTTCTGTGACTTTGAAGCTGGGCATTCTAAAGAGCAGTTGGGTTTTTTTGAGATTGCTTTTGTTTTGTTGCTTAAAATAACATGAGGAATAAATGTTCTAAAACAGAAGAGTTAATTTGAAGCTTGTTCCATACAATCAAGTTTACAGACATAGAATAAGTCATGATGTCAGGTGATACCTATCGTGTGTTACCTATCTGGAAAAACTTTTTCCTCATTCTCTTTATTTTCTCTGATTGACATGCATGAGTTTTCATAATATCACTGCACATTACATATAGAAATATAACTGACTTACAGGCTTCAAGAGAGTCAGCCAGAACCATACCTAAAAAAAGTAAAAATAATGAGCAAGCTTGCTGCAGAAAAAATGTAAGCCTGTGTTGTGTTTGATACTCGACTCTTGTAGAGTACTGAACTGTGAAAACTTGCACAATAAAACTTTGGTTGTGCCGGTCTGTGCTTATTCAAACCACGATGTGGTAACGGTGTGATTACTCTGAGCTGAATTAGATTTCTAAGGAGACAAACATGGAGACTGAGAAACTAGGTTCATAGATGACTAATTGTAACAAAGCTGTGTGAATACTCAGTTCTACCTGTTTGGCAAGTACATCTCCACATCACAGAATTTTAGCAAGTGGGTAGGCCAGTGTCATTGAAGATGGTCAATTAGACAGCTCTGTGGATGCAAAGAAGGGTGACATAAGCAAGAGAGACGATGCTTCGGGCTGAAGTAGGTGGTGATAAAATGTTCTGAACTCTTCATGTTGATTAGGATTGGATAAATAAAATTGAGCAACATTGGGATGGGATTGCCTCCTGCATCAGTGCATCATACAGCCATTAGATGTCTCTGAGCTTTGTAAGTTTTCATCCTCACCCTGCTTCCTTCTGAATGAGGCCTAGTTGAGCCTGGGCAGCATAGGCATCTGTTGGCTTCATCTGTGTTCATTTGTTTATTACAAAAGCCTTTCTGAGGAAGGTTGCCAACTTCATTAGCAGTGCCAGTTTGTAAACCTATTTTTAAGTCTTGGATTAATTTGTAACATCAGAGAGCCAGGGGAAGGTAGACAGTATCAGTGGAAGTTACTCGTGTCTAGCACTTCTGAAAGCCTGGCTGCCTCAGGCATCCCTATACCAGTTCTCAAACTACTAAAGAGGTAAAGGTGTTGCCAGTTTTGTCCCATAACATGCTATTGCCAGTCCCATGCAAACTCATACCCGCTTTGTCACCAGTTTAAAATAGCTTGTCAGACTGTTAAATTGACATGCCCAAGGTGTCTGCTACAGGGAGTATCTGTCCTCTGTAGAAAAACCTGTCAGACAGTTCAGGGCAGTTACTGCAACTGTAGTGTCAAGTTTGTTGGAACTTTGCTCTCCATCCAGGGCAGTTTTGTTTCTGTGTACTGTTACACGCTACTTTATTCTTTTGCTGTGAATGCTTTCTTTGTCTGAAATCACATAGATGATCCACCTTGACGTGTCTCGTTCTTTGGCGAAGGCATCGTTTGGCAGTGGTAACAGAAGGCAGTCAAAAGCATTGTGTCCTACAGGGGGAAGAACACCTACCACCTCCTCACACACATAGCCATCACAAATTCCCCATCCAGTTAAAATAGGCGGGAAGGATTTCAGCTGCCACACCACTGCTCCAAGGGCTGCTGTTTCAGCAGAGCTAAGCATATGGATCCTTGGTTAGCTGAATTCTACTCACTTGCTCAAATGGCCTCTGCTGACACTCCCTCCTGATAGCTGAACTCAAGTCATGTCTGGGACTGTACTGTGAGGGTTAAGGGAAGTGACATCTGCATTATTACACTGTTCAGTTATAATGGTACCATCTCAGAAGAGCTGAGACTAGCACAGGAGTCTTAGCTGTTTTTGCAGAGTATCTTCTAATTACTTCAGATGCTTTTTCTTCTATAGGTTTACTGTTTACTAAAGTATTTTGCAAACTTTTCTGTTACATAGCAGTAAAGTTTGTTCTTAACATAGTAACATCACTTTATTATCATCATCATTTTCAGTATCTCAAGCACATAGATTTGTGCTGGATAAAATATTAATGCTGCTAGGAATGCCTTAAAACTGCTGAAAGCTCTTCCCTGTGAGAACCCAAGGAGATGTCTGTGCAAGACTGAGGTATCTTGAGGTTTGATTTATTTATTTTATTTTATTTTATTTTATTTTTTTTATTTTTTATTCCTACGTAGGTACTCAGAACCAATTTAAGTGGTAATGGTTATGAAGGTCCTGGCCAGGTGAGTTACAGTTCATTGCTCATACAGAGCATTTGTTTCAATGTGAACAGAGTGGGATATATTTTTCCAAAAGTATACTTTTATTTTGAGCCCAAAATGAATATTGAAAAAATTACCAATGAAAACCATTAATTATTTAGCATTTAAATTAATCTAAACTGTGTTTAGCAGTGGCCATTAAGATATGAGACAGATGAATAACATGTGCTTGGATTGGTGTAACTCAGATTATCGCTGAGAAAGTTACCACCCTACCCTGTCTTTCCTAACTTAGACACCTGAGTGCCCAGTAAGGGCTGCAGCAGCTTCTGAAGAGATTTACAGTGTTGGATTTAAGGGGAGTCCTAAAAGCAAGGACATAGTACTGGTCCCTCATGAGCACCACCACCACCTTCTTCTCTTGTAGCATCGGTCTTACTAGGAGCCATCTAAACTGACAGTGATTAAGGAGCAGAGTTATGCATACAGTTTTGCACTGGTCTCATAAGACAGACAGCCTAAGTCACACTCTTATCAGCTTTGCACAGCTTTGTTGTACTAATGAACAGGCACCTGATTTTTAAAAATTTAAAAAAATCCATGTGCACGCACACACCATAAAATACACACAAAGTTACACTTCATCATGACAGAAAATACATATCTTTCAATTGTTAAAATGATTTCTTTGGGTTTCTGGCTTGATATTGATTTCCATTAAAAGGATGTGGTAAGAATCCCCGAGTGAGCACGAGGAGTCCAGAAAAGTCAGAGTTAAGGTTACACTTATATCTAAATAGGATGAAATGATTTCACAGCTTGAAGTCCCTAGAATGCAAGTCTCTGTCCTGGAAGGGAAAATTTGGGAGGGAAAAAGCTCTGCTTTGTTTTAAATAAAGTTTCAGCTCATCTTGGATAATGGTTCCGCAAATTGTTCATTTACTGCACAGGGGGCAGAGTTAAGGTTATTTGCACATTTAAACTTAAGTACCAACATCACGTACTGTTTGTAAGCCAATTTTAATTAACTTTGCACATCAGAACAGTGTACTAGGAGCCGCTCTTACGTGGCCCCTTTCACCCAAGCCCCTGAAAAGTAATTTTGGCAGGAGGTAACTGTTACTATCTTGAAGAAATGTGCTGGGGAAAGGTGAGCTTGTTTGTCAGCACCATTCAGATGTGTAGAAGAGCTGAAATGGCAGTCAGGTTACCTGAATGCCAGGGTCAGTAAATAACTCCATCTTAGGGTTAGGGTTTCCATTTTTTTGACCAGATAAAGTCTGGTGTTTGTATGATTTGTGGGAATATTTCTTTCAAGTTGAGGTTCTACCAATATCAAGAGAGTCCCGTTAACAAAAAATATCCCTTTTCTTTCAGGGATTTATTTAGGTTTTTTAAAAAAATAACATATGTAGTCCTCCATGTAAACTTCATTCCTGCAGACCATTGTAATCCACTGCGTCACTCATCTTTGTCATCATCTTTGGAGTTCCTCTGCAGGACAGGGCTCAGTTTGTTTTGCAAGACCGCTGCGAGTTTTTTTGAGGTTTTTTTCAGGAAAGCACTGCTGGGGTGGACGCTGCTGACATGCAGGTACAGGTCCTCCTGCGTGGGGCCGGTGTAGCCACAATCCTCGCACACGTACAGTTTGTCTCGCCTCTGTTTGTAGGCATATTGCTGCTGCACTCCGTGAATCTTCTTGAGGTGGGATTCCAGGGAACACCGCTGGGTAAATGCTTTGTTGCAAACCTCACATTTGTAAGGACGAATTCCTACAACGCCAAAAAAGGGTCATTATTGTTCTAGTTTACATTTATTATAGCCAAGAAATCGTCTGAAAGCAAGGCTGTCTTCCTAGATAGCAAGCAAACACCTAGCACTAAGTAGCTGCTAGACCAAGAAACTGTGAATAGAACATTTTACTTTTAGGCCAAAATCTTCACCAGTTGTTTGATACATTTAGGATCTTATAAAAGTTTTGAGGAGATTGAAGCAGGAGCTGAAGCTGACTGGTGCCCATCACAGCTTTGGACCTAAGGAAGAAACAGTTATCTACTCTTGCAACACTTACCCTTTAAAGACCTGACATAAAATTTTAGTTCTGTGATTAGCTAGAGCTTTTGGTTTTAGCTAACTGCTCATTCTGGTGCTTGTAATGAATGAAATCTTGTGTCTTGGTAAGTAATTTTCCTCTTTCAGTAACTCTTCAGTGGATGGCTGCCAAACATGGATGTACAGAGATCACAGCACTTCCAATGAGCAAGAGTGTTTTCATAAGATACAGTATTAATTATTGTGATTACAGGCTTGGGTTCTACAAAATAGTGTACTGAGATGAAAAAATGTGTCTGAGTCTCTGGAGGAGGAAAAACACAAGTGGCTTGTGATTTGAATGCCTGAATACTTTCATTATAAAAGGCAGAGAAGAGTATCCACTTTATCACCAATCAACTCTGATTTAACAACAATAGCTCCTCAGTGCTCAGCGGATGAACACCTGGGAGTTTATCAACATTTGAAAAACCCAAACATGGTCGTGATTTTTCTTACTACAGAGTAGCTCAGTACTAAGGCCAGCCTTAAAGCTGATACAGCATGCTATCCCAAGCCCGCTCTGATGAAAGTATATATCAGTGAGCAATAGGCAAGGAACAGTGAAGAGCAAAGCTGCCACGTTCCTATAGATGGTTTTAAATTAGTCATTGAACTGTGTTAAGTTTGCCATTTACTTGCTGGAAACTTTTTACCAGAAATCCAAACTAATTGGGAGTTCCAGTCAGAAGCATCTTGATTGCATTTTTGCAAGTCTTGGGCAAGGAGTTTATTCCAAAGTGTTAGAACTAGCAAACCTGAAGTGTTTATTTCCTAACACCTATTGCTACGAGACTGCACCAATGACTTCAGTTATACTGAACTGCAGTTGGAGAGAAACTCCATATCTTCCTCAGAATTCACAAACAGAAAACACATCCATTACAAATAGCATTTTGGGCGTGGTTTTATGCTCACCTAGCATCAGCGTGGGTCTGCACTTAAGGCAGCTGACCAGGGTCTGTGCTTCTCCATTACTTTTGAATCATTTGACAATTTCATTTTACTGTGCATGTGAGTTACTTTTTAACATTCAACTCTGTATGTGCCATGCACCTGGGTTGGCACATTTGGCTTTCCCACTGTTACATCTGGCTGCAAGCAATTTCCACTGGAACACCAAAATTTGGGAAAGCAAACC